CACCCCGCCACAGAGTCCAGTTTGAAACCACTACAGGAGTCAGACATCACATGATCTTTGCTGGACAGAGTACCCCACATGTGATTGGACTTTAATATTAACATGTCAATGAGGTAATGGATGTTCAGTTTCCATATGATCTTAATATATTTCATAGCCAAAAATATTTCAAAGTGACATGCATAATTTTCATCTCCAACTCCACTGGTCATAAAAGTCTTAAATCACATCATCAGTGCTTCAAACAAGTAACTAGCCAAGTTTTAGGCATAACTTCCTTGAAGAAAATGACTTGTCCTTAAAGAGACAAGTTTTGCCAAGTGAAACAGTACACAATCAAGTATCTGAAGCTTTCGTCCTTTCAACATGTAACAACTAATCATTTTAAAAATAGTCACGATATTGATTTCCAGTTTATTCTTCCTTATAAGTACATCATTTGGCAGCACAGCCAATAAACACTTCATTTCATTCTGTTCTGCTAAGAAAAATTCTGCCTAGTTCATGGTAAAACAATTGATATAGCTTGGACACAACAAAAACAAAAAAGATGTATTTTACTATGAATTTTTTTTTTTTTAACACAAGATGGCATAAGTGCTAAACAAAATTAATGCTTTAGGAAACCCTGGTTTTGACTACCAAGGAGGACATTTTATAAAGACCAACACTGTTATCACATGGGACACAGTTTTGATATCTAGTGGCAAACGAGGGAAAATTACTCTTAAGAGAAAAAGCAGGTTTTAATTTTCTTTAAATTCCATTTTCTTTATTTTTCATAGTTGAAACTGACTGAGGCAGTTGAAATAGAAGATAAAAGCAGGCTGCATTATAAGGACAAAATGTATTAAATAAATCTGGCTCATTTATACTTGCCTACTTTATGAAATTAACATTTAGAAATGAAACAGAAAAACATGACATCAGAATTAACTCAACCAAGTATGTGCTAAAAATACCTTTGTTAACTGTCTTTGGGTAACTACGAAACATCACAAATAAGTTAACAAAGCTTAAATACAACAACAGAACTTAATAGTTCTATAGGGTAACTATGAGTCAGAATCCACTCGACGGCAGCGAGTTTCTTTTTTTAATACCGTAAGTTTTTTTTACCATTTCTTCTATTTTCTTTCTTCTGGCTCTGTCTTCTCCTCCTATTTAAATATATGCACTGTATCCCAAGATTCTGTATTTAGTTCTATATTTTTGAAATTTCATACGACTTCCAAGCTTTCATCTCAAGGAGCCCTGGTGACACAGAGTTTAAAGTGCTCGGCTGCGAACCAAAAGGTCAGCGGTTGGAACCCACCAGCTGCTCTGCGGAAGAAAATGCGGGGGTCTACATCCATAAAGATTACAGCCTTGGAAACCCTAAAGGGAAGCTCTGCCCTGTCCTAAAGGTCACTATGAGTCAGACTCAACAGCAATGGGTTTTTTACCATTGTATCAACTCTCCTCCTTATGTATTCTCTCAAAAATGCCAGAGTGCTAAACGTCTCCAACTGGATTGTATAATATATCCTAAGCATGTCTAGAACAGAACATCTCTCCTTCAAATAAACTAGTGTCCTGATTTGACTATATCCATTTATAACATTACCATTCTCCAAGTTACTTGGGCATAAGACATTAGAGTTATATATATATATATATATTTTTTTTTTTTTTTTTTACTTCCACAGCCTTCTGCCAAGTCCTCCGCTGGAGATCAACTAGTTCAATTTGTGTCACACACATCCTTCAGTTCCAAGTGGCCCTGACTGTATCACCTGAGGGGTACTTTGCTTGGTCCTCCTATATGGGGTGCCTGCCAGAAAGCCTATGCTTCAGAGTGCAGTTTAGAGTTTCTAGAGAAAAAATTGGTTTGGCATCCAGAGGAGCTCGCAATTCACCATTTCTAAGAAACCCAAATATGCAGTAACTGAATCACACCCTAGTTGAATAAAAACGTTAATTAACATAGCTAGCATACACACATGCTATATTTAAAGGTTGTGGAGATTTATCTTTGTATCACAGGTATAAAAAGGTAGAAAAGACCATGTTAAATTCTTTTACCACAATGACTGCATATTTACATTTTTTGAAGATTTGAATTTCTAAAGCAATAATCAATGATTTGTACTCCCTATCAGTCAGTTCATATCTTCATTGTTGCCCTTCACACACTTGTAATAAAATGAGTTTTCTTGTCTATCTCTCACAGCAAGTGTTCTGAGTAGGAATTACACTACATTGATTTTTATATCCCCAGCACTTAGCACAGTGTCTGACATAAAATGTCTGTTGGATGAATTAACCTATATAGCCTGATAGTTGATAGAGTATTTGGTGACATTTCCATTACTAAGAATTTGGGGGAAAAGCAGATACTGTGCTCAACTGTGCTAAGAAAATTGGAATGTGAAAGGACTTAACTCATTTTCAAATAAAAATACAATTAGTTCTAAGATTCTTTTTTCATACCTACAAACCCACTTTTATCAGTTCACTCGTTTGGCAATTAGTCTTAAAATCTCAAATATTTGAGAATTACCTTCTTCCCATTCTAGTGATACTAATTTGCTCCTTTCTTAAGAATTAGTCACAACTTATTCACTTCTCTGGTTCAAAATATAAATGAAAGTAGCCCTTAATATCCAAACAATACCAAAATTATAACTGCTAGATTAATTAGACTGAAAGACTAACCGTCTGAGATGTTGAATATCTTCTTTGTATTTTTCTTAACAGAAGAAAAAAAGGGGGAAGATGTAAAAGTTTGGCAGGAAAAAATAAATCCCATTTTCTGCATAATGGCAAAATTTAAAATAAATCACTGCAAAATCTTTTTTTTACTGCTTCTGCCAGCAAACCCAGTTAAAACCAAGATACTGAAGTTAGAACAGGGATTCGAGTATTCAATTATAAACCATTTGTATTTTTCAGGGCTTCAAGCCAGTGTCAACTGGTTCAATCATGGACAACAAAGTAAAACCTGAACAGACCCAATTTTTAAAATGTTTTAAAATTGAGTGATCTGGAACCATAATCAGAATGGGAAAAATTATGGGTCAAAGTCCTGGAATGCGAGCCTTTCAGGAGCCTGATGCATGAGAATGGGTTATTGCCAGGACTGAGGAGAGTGACATTCAAAGCAGTGACATCAGCTGCCATCTTTGAGCAGGGCACCACTTTCAGACTCTGCACAAAAGTTGATGGACTAGAGATTTGGTTGCTATGCAACTCATATGCTGCCCTTGTTTTCTAAGAGAGATTAAGTTTCTAGCAGGGCTTCAACTCATAATTTTTCCCATTCTGGTTATGGTTCTGGTTCACGCAAATTTTAAAAATTCGGGTCTGTTCCAGTGTCGCTTCCTTGGCCATGAATGAACTGGGAAGAACCAGTTCAAAGCTCTGCTATTTTTATGACAAACTTGAATGCATCACTCCTTAAACTTGAGACAAGTGGGCTTCATACACAAATTCTTTGAGTGTGGAATGTTTTTCAGTTTTGGAAACCAATGAACAATCACCAAACAAACAAACAAAACACATTCCCAAAGGATGATAACGTAAAACACGTAGTTTAGTCATCTCTGTAATTTGCTGAGATTTTAGTCCTAGATCAAACCAGAACATCATTCACTGAGCTGAATAAATACTTGGACCTATTTTTTTGTTTGTTTTTTTGGACAACTTCCTCTGAGTAGTCCCTCTGCTCCTATACCATTGCTTTTACTAAATTGAGCTATGTTGTTATATTTTCTGATTGCTTGCTATTGATTTTATGGGAGAGATATTATTGAGGAAGTTGTGTCTTCCATCACTCAATAAGCCCTTTACAAGTCCCATAGGAGATTCCCTTAGACCTTCAACGCAAAGAAGAGTTTTACTTCGCCTAATCAAACGACACATTCTTATTTTATAGAATATGTAAGTCTCACAAGTACTTAGTCATGCTAAGAAATTGAATTCAACTGAAATTATTAATTCTTAATTTTTATTTTTAATTTTTGTCCTCTCTCCTGAAGTGAATTTAACATGACATGACAAAAGACCCACTGTTAAACAGGAATGTTTTTAGTTAAATAAAAATATTCTCTATGTTTTCAGAAAGAAGAACTAAGCTATGGTCTTTGTAAGTTCCTGCCCTATTGAAAGACTCAGCTCTCCTTGAAACTCTTAAACAGGCTAACAAGGAAGCATGAAGCCACTTTGTTAGAGAGCCTCCCAGTTTTAATGCAGTGTCATGTCTGCTCATCTTCTGTGGGCACACCCTTATCACCTTGCTGTTTTTGAACAGCCTGGGTCCTTACGGTCTTCTTGATCAGTGGTGCTGAACTTGGAACTTTCTGATATCACAATATGCCTGCTCTCCATCTGATGCGCATCTTACCCTAAACTACACCAGCTGCCTCTACCCTGATCTGACAAACAGGAAGAAATGGGCTAAAAGGAAAACAAGATGATTGTCAAATCTAAGAGAATAAAATCAACCCTAAAACTAAGTTTAACTTTATTGTAACTAGATGTAAAATGTAAATATCATCTAGAAATTTCAGATGCACTGAATTCATCAGGAGATATACTCTAGTAAATGTGTTTGTTCTCTTTTCTTTGGATATTAACCTTTAGAAAAATCTAACCTGAGGTAGACAACTCTCAATTGGCAGACTATAAATCATGGTCCCTTAAAGACTATCTTCAGAAAACTCTTATTCTCAGACTGACCAGTTCATATACACCCTTGTCATCAATGTGTGGGTGGAAGAAAAATAAATTTTAATATAAGCTCAAGAGAGAAATTAATAGAAAATTAAGTAGGCTTCAAACAACAACTCTCAAGTGAACTCAGTTATTTAAGATTTGTGTTAGCTCAGACTGTCTAAGCTCCTTCATGAAAGTAGTCATTCAAGGGTTGCTTATACTAGTAAATATGACATCATGTTTAGATTAATAACTTACATCAAGAAAACTACCCTCATTATAAATTCCCATAATGCAGTACTTACCTGCCAAAATTTTTTTGAACTGTCTAAACCATAAGTCACAGTGGTCTTCACTTAAATTAATAAGATCAATTGTAGAATCCTTCAATTTATTTTGTTCCTTTTTCAAACATATGAAGAGTGTGATTCCTAATAAAGTACCACTTTGCTGTTTAGAAGAACAACGCCGTTTCAGTTTCACAGAAAATACGTCTTTGAGCTCAATAAATTCTTCTTTATGTAGCAAATCGAACTTGGGATCACCTAAAAAAGAAATGAAATTTTCCAATCAAAACCATTATGTCATATCTTAAGTGTATAAATAATAGTGAAAACCCCCAAAAGAAATCTTTTTTTTTTAATTATTGTACTTTAGATGAAGGTTTACAGAACAAACTAGCTTCTCATTAAACAATCAGTACATATATTGTTTTGTGACATTGTTTCCCAACCCCACAACATGTCAACACTCTCCCTTCTCAACCTTGGGTTCCCCATTACCAGCTTTCCAGTCCACTTCTGCTTTCTAGTCCTTTCTCCTGGGCTGTGGTACCCCATTAGTCTCGTTTTGTTTTATGGGCCTATCTAATCTGTGGATGAAGCGTGAACCCTTGGAGTGGCTTCATTACTGAGCTATAAGGATGTTTGGGAGCCATTATCTCGAGGTTTCTCCAGTCTCTGTGAGATCAGTAAGCCTAGTCTTTTTTTGTAAGTTAGAATTTTGTTCTACATTTTTCTCCAGTTCTGTCTGGGACCCTCTATTGTGATCCCAGTCAGAACAGTCAGTAGTGGTAGCAGGGCACCATCTAGTTGTACTGGACTCAGTCTGATGGAGGCTGTGGCAGATGTGGTCCACTAGTCCTTTGGACTAATCTTTCCTTTGTGTCTTTGGTTTTCTTCATTGTCCTTTGCTCCCAGTGGGGTGAGACCAGTGGAGTATCTTAGATGGCCGCTCACAGGCTTTTAAGACCCCAGACGCTACTCACCAAAGTAGAATTCGGAACATTTTCTTTATAAACTATGTTATGCCAATTGAGCTAGATGTTTCCCAAGACCGTGGTCCCCATAGCCCTAGCCCAGTAATTTGGTCCCTCAGGAAGTTTGAATGGAGCTTCTATGACCTTGCCTTGGAAAAGCTGTGCTGACTTCCCCTTTATTGTGTACTTTCTTACCCTTCACCAAAGTTACCACTTATCTATTGTCTAGTTAGTGTTTTTCCATCTCCATTCCTCCCCTCCCTCGTAACCATCAAAGACATTTCTTTTTGGGTGTAAACTTTTTCATGAGTTTTTATAGTAGTGGTTTCATACAATATTTGTCCTTTTCTGATTGATTTATTTCACTCAGCATACCATCCTCCAGATTCAACCATGTTGTGAGAAGCTTTGCAGATTCATCTCTGTCCTTTATCATTGCGTAGTACTCCATTGTGTGTATGTACCATAGTTTATCCATTCATCTGTTGACGGGCATCTAGGTTTTTTCCATCTTTTTGCTACTGTGAATAATGCTGCAATGAACATGAGTGTGCATATGTCTACTCGTGTGATGGCTCCTATATCTCTAGGATATATTTCTAGTAGTGGGATGGTTGAATCTTGTGGTATTTCTATTTCTACCTTTTGAAGGAAGCAATATATACTCTCACCAGCAGTGCATAAGAGTTCTAGCCTCTCCAACATTTGTTACTTTCTGGTTTTTTGATTTGTGCCAGTAATGCTGAGGTGAGATGGTATCTCATTGTGGTTTTGATTTGCATTTCTCTAACGGCTAGTGATCACGAGCATTTCCTCACGTGTCTGTTAGCCACCTGAATGTCTTCTTTGGTGAAGTGTCTGTTCATTTCCTTTGTCCATTTTTTAATAGGATTATTTGTCTTTTTGTTGTAGAGGTGTTGGATTTTCTTGTAGATTTTACAGATTAGACCTTTGTCTGACTTGTAATGTTCAAAATTTTTTTTCCCAGTCTGTAGGTTCTCTTTTTACTCTTTGGTGAGTGTTTTGATGAAGGGTTTAATTTTTAGAAGATCCCAGTTATCAAGCTTATCTTCTTGAGTTTGTGTTGTTAGTTATGGTTTGTATCATGTTAATGCCGTGTATAAGGGCCTCTAGTGTTGATCCTATTTTTTCTTCTATGATTTTTATGGTTTTGGGTTTTATATTTAGGTCTTAGACCCATTTTGAAATAGTTTTTGTGTATGATGTTAGGCATGGGTCCTGTTTCATCTTTTGGAGACGGATATCTAATTTTGTTCGTTTAAAAAACTGTCTTTTCAACAATACCATTTATAATAGCCCCTAAAAAGATAAAATACTTAGGAATAAATCTGACCAGGGATGTAAAAGACCTATACAAAGAAAACTACAAAA